TTTCATATTACTTCTGTATTGCAAAGATTGTCCTAATTTTATACATAGGAATTAAAGAATAAACTTAAGTTCTATTCAAAGTAACAGATGAAACCAGGTCTATAAAAATATTGATATACGCTCCAATTGTTCCCCAATCAATGAACCAACCATTCTCACCTAAAAGTAAAGACTGTACATATATCTAAATATAAAACGAGTAAAGTAACCTACAGTAAGACTGATATGAGGCACAACTGAAAATGTTAAATATTTATACACTCTAATAAGAGAGCTACAAGGCCATGGAATCTAGGAAGTATTCTTCTTTCACGGTTAGGGATCTTATCTGATTTTGGAATTCAATTTCCCCAAAGCAATCTCTCACAGATGAGACAATACCTCCATGTTCAGCAAATTTGGGATTCGAAAGAATCATCTTGCAAAACTTGAGGCCATTTTTGTATTGCTTCTGTTCGTAACATTTCTGTAAAGAAAAATGAACAAAAATTATTTTATAAAATGACTATACATGAGGCCAACTTTTCATTGCATTATACAAATTCTAAATTCAAGATCTAAAATGAGATCTAAAACATGTGATTGAAAGGTTTCATATCAATTTATAACAGAAGTATACTTCTGTTATCTACTTCTTGCCAAATTGCTCTAATAGTGTCAGCAAAGGAAAAACAAAACACTTAATAAACAGGGAATTTAACTGTCAATCAGCGCTGCTAAAGCTTTTTGAAATTTAAAAGCCAAAAGCAAAAACATATGTGATAACAACTAGAAACTGTATTAAAAGCCTTTGCTACTTCAAGAATGGAACCAAGGCACGCACACACACAAAAATACTATTTATTAAGCAACTATCATGTGTCTGTACAAAACTTGTTATAACTCATAGTAAATCCTTAAGGTAGGTGTCATTATCTCCACCTTACTTACACATGTGAAGGTGTAAACTGGGTTGCAAACTCTGGTGTGACTCCAAAGAGCTTGGTCTTTGAATCACTGATCTAATACAAGGGTAAGCAACCCCTTGATTCCTAAATGCCACCAGCCAGGCTGAGTAATCAGTGACTGTCCTCCTAGCCATGATCATGAGAACATCTCATCTCCTTTCACTCACCTTCTCACTTACGCTGTTATGGGTGTTTTTTTCTAGTACTTAACATGCCAAGCTTATCCCTGCCTCAGGGCCTCTGCACTTGTGTTCCTTCTACCTGAAATGTTCTTCCCCAGGTGTTCCGACGCCTGTTTTCTTTTCATCAGTTTCACAAGTCACCTACCTGATCACTCTAATACTGCCAGCCTCCTACTCCCACACAAACATATTCTCTATTATATCACTCTATTTTCTACACAATGCTATCATCTCCTGAAATCCCTATTTACATGATTACTTAAGTGTCTACCTTCTCCACCATACTGTAAGTTCCACAAGGACAGGGATCTTGCCTATTTGAAACACTGATGCATCCTCAGGTTCTAGACAAATAAGCACTGCTCAATAAATACAGCCTACTAAGTTCAAAGCAAAACAGTACCAGCAAAGGAGGGGGAAGTGATGAATCCTGGCAGCAGGAGTGGGATGTGGAGGGAGAGTTAGACAAGAGTTCATAGAAAAAATATATTTAAATTGAGACTTCTTGATTGGCTCTGGGGAAGGGAACTTAGTTGGGAGACAAGGATCCAACAGAAACCTGAATTTTGAACCATTCTAATATATTACCTATTCCAAAATTATTTTAAAATAAAAATAAGAAAATAATCTGAGTTTGACTAAAGGAGTTCACCTGACAAATGACAAGAAGAAACAAACAGGGGCCGGCCGAGTGGCTCAGTTGGTTAAGAGTTTGCTTAAGAGCACGTGCTCTGAGCAACAAGGTTGCCAGTTCAATTCCCACATGGGCCAGTGACGCTGCGCCCGAGCTGAGCTGCCAACAGGTGGCAGGATGGCTCAGCTGGTGAGAGCACAAGCTCCTAATAACAAGGTTGCCTATTTGAGATGGTGGTTATGCCCATCTGCAACTAAGACTAAACTCGGCAGCTTGAGCTGAGCTGCCACCAGATGGCTCAGTGGATAGAGCGTGCGCTCTTAACAACAAGGCTGCTGGTTCGACTCCCGCATGGGATGGTGGCTACGCCCACCCGCAACTAAGATTGTAACACAGCACCTTGAGCTGAGCGGCACTGGACTTGGAGCTGAGCTAGCTGCGCCCTCCACAACTAAGACTGAAAGACAACAACTTGGCTGTTCCCCATCCCCAACTCCCCAACACTGTTCCCCTCCCCCAATTCCCCAATTAAAAAAAAGAAGAAGCAGGGCCAGCAGAGTGGCTTAGTTGGTTAAGAGCTCGCTCAAGAGTGTGAGCTCTGAGCAACAGGGTCGCCGGTTCGATTCCCGGCCCGAGCTGAGCTGCCAACAGTTGCCAACAGGTGACGGGATGGCTCAGCTAAAAAAAATAGTTATAATAAGAAAGTAGAAACAAACAAACAGACGCACTACAACAAACAGAAGCAACTACTGGGAAAAAGGAAAAGAAAAATATGTTCTTTTTTCTGACTTATCAAGTGACCTCAAAAGTAATAATCATATTACCAACAACAGTAAAAATAGTTAACACTTATTGGAAGCATTTACTATGTGTCAGGCACTGTTCTCATTTAATCCTTATTTAAATCCCAGGAAAGCCTATGAGATGCATGTTATCTCCATTTTAGATAGAGCAACTGAGGCACACAGTTATTGAGTTTTCACAGCTAAGTGTCAGAGCCACAATTCAAACCTAGGTAATCTGTCTCCAGTAACCACACATTCAAGTTAAAGTCTTAAATTCAGTAGAATATATACTTAGTAGAAAAGATAGATTCTAGTTTCAACTTTGCTACTAACCAAAAAACCTTAGGCACTTAGTCATTTAGCATTCCTGGGTTTGATTGTCTCATCCGTAAAAGAGGGCATACAGTAGCTCCAAAATTCAACAAAATGTAATGCTAAGAGCCAGTTTGGGGAATAAAATAAGCAGGCATAAGCCGTGCAGAACATGTGATAAGCTAGCTGGTGAATTTGTATGGATGTGTTTATATACACTAATTAAAATTTACTGTTGGTGACAAAACACTCTGGTTAACCAACCAAACTTAAAAAGTTATTTTATTATAGAAACTTCTGTTTGCCACTGAATTTATTGCAGCAGAATCTTACCCACATTTATTGTAATTGTGAGATGATGAAATCATACACTTTTGCAGCACCCTCATAAATTCATGTAACCTTGTAACAAACATACCCAGATTAGAAAATGTTTAGCATTTCCCAATTTATCTGGGGATAAAGTTAACTGAGCAGCAGCTTTAACTTTTTTGTAACTAGAGTATAAATAAATCACATAGTTGTTTTTGGTTATTGTACTGATAACATGATTTGAACTACAAAATATCCACATACAGAGAAAGCAAATGTTCTGTCATCTTTTAGGTATAATGCCAATTGTCCTGAAATCTAACTATTTATAGATGATTTTTCATTAACATAGCTCAGATTCCCTAGACCCCCCCCCAAAAAAAATCCCACCTGAACGGGCAAAAAAGTTATCTTCTCCAATTCCATACTGTGAGAAATATAAAGGTATGAGAAAAATTAAAGTAAAATAAGAAAAAATATATACTAGAAAGCCGAGTGAAGCAATCAGCCACAATGCTTCAATTAGAATGTTTTGTTTTTACACTTGTCTTTCATTATTTGCTCAACACTAAGCACCATTTAAAATTAAGACTTAAAAATCTTTATCCTATCTACTATGTATCTTCTTTAACATTCTGAAAAGTATGAAGTTTCTATTGGCTTAAAACAGAACTACTATGAATTATTCTCTGCCATAGATAATATCTAGAACATTCTAAACTTAGTATTTTATTTACAGTAAAGGTAAGCCAAAGCTAATAGTCATGTAACTAACACAAGCTCTAAATAATAAATTCACTCTTAAAATCTAAACGCTTATGGTTCAGATGAAAAGAAAAACTAGAAAAAAAAACACAAACCCAGCTATCCATTTACAGTATCAGTTTAAATCTACGATCCCCAGTGTCTATGGAGAAAAGCAAAGGCACGCTGCCTCTTCTCCCTGGAAGGACGGAACCTGGAAAACCGTGGACATCACGGACGCTCCCACCACCCACAGCAAACACACTTCTCCGCCGGGCAGCGGTCATCGCTACGGGGCCATTATTCAGGTTTCTGCTCGGAAACGAAACAGATGCTCCCCTCGAGTGCAAAACCAGGCAGTCCGCAAGGCTTTCATCACTTACTTAAGGCAGGGCCTGTGCGGGTTAAAAGCAATCCATAGTTGTATGCGATGTTATAACTTAGAAATGCAGTTCATGTCACGTATCCCTTCCCAAAGAGGGTGAGGACGTCAAAAACATGCCAAGTCTCCGCCACCACAGGGTTCCGTCTGATTTTCCCGTAACCGGTATAAGCCCGAGCCCCACCCCACCCCAGGACCGCTCCCGCTTCGGTAGGTGTCCGGGCGCGCGGGGCCATCGATGCGACAGAAAGCAGGGCGCGGACGCCCCGCCGAGCGCAGGCGGCCGCAGCAGCCAGCGGGGCAGGATGGCAGCGAGGCGGCCGGGAGCGCTGCCGCGGGGCTCCGCAGCGCGCACGGGGCCGCTACCTGGCCGACGCGCCCCTGCCCGGAGTGCCTGCGGAGGGCGACGTGAAGTTTCTGGAAGGAGCGCGGCGGGGCCCAGGCGAGCCGCTGCAGAGGGAGGAGACGGGAGAGGACGCGCGGAGAGGCCCGGCGGCCCCCGCCTGCCGGCCGGGAGCGCAGGCGGCCCGGCGGGGCCGGGCCGAGGCGGGGGATCAGGTCTTGCGGGCTCGGAGATAAACAAAGAACCGTGCGGGGGCCGAGCCGGCCCGCGCAGGCGTCCCCGCCAGACCGATCGCCGCGCCGCGCCGGGGGCTCCCCGGCGGCGCGGCCTCCCGCCACTCACCAAGATGCGTTTGAAGAGGTTGCTCTCCTTGGGCGGCAGCTGCACGTTCGGCATCGCGGCCGGGCTCTCCGTTCCGCAGGGGCGGGCAACGAGACAAGACGCCGGTGAGAGCCGAGCGCGGGCGCGGGCGAGGGGTCAGTTCATTGGCCTAGACTTGGGGCTGAGCAGCCTGGGCAGGGCTGGCCGCGGAGAAGGAACGCGATCTCAGCCAGACACCTTCGGCTCCCGCCCTGCTTCGGGGCGTGCGGCGGCGGCGGCTCCCGCGCGCTGCAAGATGGCAGCCAGGGCCCGCCCCCGGGGGGCGATGGGCGCATGCGCGGGGCGCCCCGCAGCGAGGAGCAACCGTGAGCTGGGGGTGCAGGAAGGACAGTGTTGGGGGGGGGGGGGCTGTCGCCCTTGTCGCCAGAACTTAAGCGCCAGGTGGGGCTCATGTGCCGTGGCCCCTCGTAAGTGGCTGACTTGTATATGTGCTCTGATTGTTAGGCTTGTAGCCCAAGAGAATGTTAGTTCTATCAGAGTCAGACTTTTTGGATTTCTCTCCACTCAGAAACTTAACCAGTGCTCAGCCAAGTAAATTCTTGAGGTAGAAGAACCTGTGCAAACCAACGATGTATTCACAACGTATGTGAGGTCACTGGACAGGCCTTGAAATGGGCTCGTAATGTGAAAACATGTTTAAAATGTTTCAGGAAAAAAAAAATTCCCAGCAGTGTAAGAGCCCCTAATATTGTCAGTGAGAATTATGGTGGGTTTTTGGAGCCACTGATTCTCCATGTCTACCTATTCTTTTTTCTCAAATGGTTCCCATTTATACCAGCCATATAATTTTGAGAGACACAAAATTCAAAAACAGGATATTCCAACTCTGGGACACTTCCTACCATGCATAGAAGATAGCCTATCTCAAAACAAAAACAAAGCAGAAAAAGGTAAAATCGTGATAGAAATGTGTGAGTCTAGAAAGATATGGATATACATCGTTAACAAGAATAACCATACATAAAATGTAGGTTTAATATTAAGGAGTATGTAAATATTAGGCACATAAACATATATGTTCTGGATCTTAATTTGTGCATAGTCCTAAGACTGCAGCACAATTGTTGCATAATTGTGTTTAATGGACTGTCATCAGAGCTGGATTAGGGCTTATCTGATTTTTTTTCCCTCTAACCTCAGTTGGTTGGAGATGGGAGAACGTATCACAGGAATCTTTTTTTTTTTTTAAGATTTTTATTGAGGAATTGGGGGAGGGGAACAGTGTTGGGGAATTGAGGCAGGCGAACAGCCAAGTTGTCCTTCAATCTTAGTTGTATAGGGTGCAGCAAGCTCAGCTCCAAGTCCAATCGTGCCACTCAGCTCAAGGTACTGTGTTCAATTACTTGCAGGTGGGCATAGCCACCATCCCATATGGGAGTTGAACCAGCAGCCTCATTGAAGAGCACACGCTCTATCCACTGAGCCATCCGGGTGACAGGTCAGCTCAAGGTGCCGAGTTTAGTCTTAGTTGCAGGTGGGCATAGCCACCATCTCAAATAGGCAACCTTGTTGTTAGGAGCACGTGCTCTCACCAGCTGAGCCATCCTGCCACCTGTTGGCTGCTCAGCTCAGGTGCGGCTCACTGGCCTATTAGGGAATCAAACCGGCTACCCTGTTGCTCAGAGCTCACACTCTTGAGCAAGCTCTTAACCAACTGAGCCACTCAGCTGGCCCCCACAGGAATCTTTTAAAGTAGGCAAGGGACTGTTATTAAAAGGAGAGAAGTCCAGAAGGGCCTATGTGTTCTGGGTAGAAACTAGGCTTCCTGTCAAGCTGTTAGAGAGGTGAAACTTGGCTGGTTTGCACCTGAACTGGTGGTAGCCTGGACAGCTGAGCAGGGGCAGAGAAGTGCTGGCTCACTGCACCCTCACACCCAACCGCTCCCATAGTTCTACGCACTGTGTGCTCACCATAGCATTACTGTTCCTGAAAATTCTTTAGCTCCCAATTTACCTACATCCTCAGGAGTAAAGAGTTCATTGTGGAAAGAGTTGAGGTTCCAGTGCCCCAGTTGGGCCTTGACTTTCACAGGATATGGACTTTTCTGGAATGTACTTCAGTCAGCTCAAGCCACTCTGCCTCACCTCAAGGCAGATTTCAAAATGACAAATTGAAAGAAAGTAAAAGAGAAAACGGGGGCGGGGGGAAGCTTAATGCCAAGTAAATATTTGGAGACAGGTAGTGTTTATCTTTTATGAAAGTTTCCTGTGGGCCTTATCGAGCCTAACTTATTACAAATCATTAACTCTGTGATATCTGCCAGATCTTCACCATGGCTCTCCCTACCCCTAAATCAGGCAGCCTGTGCTGATTCTCATTTGCACTCTTCAGCGTCCCACCCACTGCCACCTTCTCCCGTTCCCACAGCCTTCCTAGCATCTCCAAGCAGTACAAAGGAAACATGCAACCCAAACAGTGAGGAATGGGTAGTTATAAAAACTCCTACTCAATATTCTCCTCATCCGTCTTTCACACCATGACACGCGATGCATGCATACCTTGGTTGTCTGCACCAGGATCGGGTGAGGGGAGAGGTGAGTAACTCCAAAGAATGCCAATGGAGTTGCTGGTAGTTGCAAACCGGAACCTTAGCACCCATAAACGCTGTAATGCATGCACAGTCAGAAAGCCTGGATTAGCCAGTGGCTGTAATTTTATTACTGACTTCCTGTTTAGTCTGCAGCAAATCTTGTTTCCACCTTTCAACAGAAAATGGGGTTATAATAACATTATTGTAATCTTTCACAGCAGGGTTCTGTGAATGTAATGCTTAGTCATTCTAAGCCGTAGTGAAAAACAAATGCAGTGTAAATCTGAACTCACTGTCTCAGGAAGAACGCTGAAGCCTCACTGGGGCAGGGTGGGCCTCCGCCCAGATGTTCCTTCCCGGTGCTTCCGGCAGGGTGGACCTCCTGTCGAATCATGCACACAGTAAAATTACAGTAACAACATCTAAAGACCTTAACACCTCCCGAAGCACTTGTTACGTGCATGAGATCGATGCCCACATGGGGCAAATCCCCCAGAGTGGGGATTCAAGTCCTTGGCTAAGAAGGTTCTTGGTTTTACATGGGAAAGAATTCAAACGTGAGCTGATATAGAATTTAAAGTGAAAGTAAGTTTATTTAGCAGAGAGTAAGTAAGGAAACCAGGACCACCCCACAGACAGAGTGGTGGTCTCTAATCACTAGTGGAAGAGAGACCCCCTTCATCCACTGGGTTGGGGTTTATATGCGTTTCTTGTTTCCATAGGAAACTTCTTGGTATGGGGAACTTCTGCAAGACTCAAGAAGAACGGGCAGGTTTACCTTTAACTTTTGGAAGGTACAGTCTATGGCTAGTTTGTATTGTAATAGGTTTAATTATGGGAATGGCCATAATGGAATTTGTCCTTGCTCAACAGGCTTCGATGGTCTGTTCTGTGTGATTGATTAACACGTGCCTGAGTTCTGGGTCTTGGAGCACGCAGGCAGCAGGCTTGGCATCCAACCTCCAAGTTCCTTCTTCTGTAAAAATAGTGCTCATGCCCGTTCCCAACATTAATATGGGCCAGGGATTCTCTTGCTGAGCCTAGTAGAGCCAAGGAGAAAGGAATTTAGGAAAGGATGTTCCTTAGTCCATACACATATACACAGCATATCTTACAGAGCCAGCTCACAGGGTAAAAATCAAGTACTTTGCTGCTCTTCCCTTAACCAATTTAATCATGAAAGTAAAGGCTGATGGGAAAAGAACTCATCAGATTGCGTAATGCCTTATGCCTCAGATGCCCTGACGTTTCTGCTCTCTACTTTCCGTGCTCTTGTTCCAGAGAAAGAAAACACACTTTGTCCCACCCCTGGAGCTCTTGATTCATCTCCTTTTGCTTTTCCTGGACTTTTATTCAGCAGTTATTCCCTTCCACCCCTGCTATATCTCATATTTTCTCCCTCCTTACATATCTCATATTCTAATGGGAGGAGACAGACAATAAACACATTTTAAAAAAAAAAAAGGTAATTCCAGACCTTGGGAAGTCCTAGGAAGGAAATAAAACAAGGTCATATGAGGACAATGGGGGTTGAGGAAAGGGCTGCTCTCTGTCAGGTACTCAGGAACGATCTCTGGGGGGTGGTGACATGTGAACAGAGACCTAAAGGAAGAGAAGGGAGTTAACAAGGTGAAAAGCAGGGATAGCACATTCTAGCTAAAGGGAATCACCTGCAAATTCCCTAATGCAGAAACAAGATTGGCATGGTCAGGGCATAAAAGAAACAGGAACTTCAGGTTCACGGAGAGGGCTGGAGGGTTGGGTGTGAGAGGGGAAGCGGAGTACAACAGGTCTGTGAAGCTGGGGGCAGGTTGTACAGGGTTTTCCATCTCAGGCAACATGGTTTGGTTTGATTTTATCCTATGTTCAGTGGAAGCCACTGAAGCATTTCAAGCAGGAAAGTGACATATCTGATTTATTTTTTAAAAGGCCACTCACACTACTTACAGAAAATGGACAAGAGAGAGATAATGGGGTTTCTTCTAGGAAAATGGCAACTCTATTTGTTTCTTAGGATTTGACTTCTGCTCCCAATAGTCTTCCGAAAATGTTCTCTGAAATACCACTAATTCATTTGTTCTACACCTAATTATTCAGCACAATGTGACTGGCAGCCTTTTAACAAACAAAAATAACTTCCCCTCATGAAGCGTACATGTTAAGGATTGCCTCGTGGCCAAATCCAAACATGTTTTCAGTCCACAGCTTCCTTAACCCCCAGGTAGCATTTCCCACAGTGGACCACCCAGTTCTTCCTGGCTTCTTCTGCCTGCGGTAAACAAGACCCTGCAGGATCCTGGGTTTCCTCCTGCCTCTCTTCCTACTCATTCTCGGGGTCCTCAATCAACTCCTCTTCTTCTCCTAAATGCTGGTTGTCTGACAATTCTGCTTTCTTGTCCAACAGCGACAATAAGGCATGTTCACCAAGCACCTGCTACTCACCAGCAAAGCAGAATTGATCAATTCTCCTGCCCCCATAGCTTCCACTGTTGACCCCAAGTTGATGATACCCAAGCCTTACTAAGGATGTTGTCT